TCCAACTAATTAATCTTATTAATATACTCGATGACGCTACATGAGTTGGTTTTTCATTTTCGTCAGAAGCACTTTTAACTACTTCGAAATACTCCTAACAACTCCGATTGAAATCGAATGATTTTTGGAGTATACTATGCGAAGTGTGCTAATAATTTTTCTCTTCATCCTGAGGATGATGCCGTTATCAATAACAGGACAATTGCCAAAAATGCGTTTAACGTGAAGGATTTGAAAGTACTTTGAATAAGCATAACACAATCGTTGATCTCTTTCTCTCGATCTCGACGAAAGGATTCAGCAGTTCATGGCAGATGGAAGCCGAAGAGATGGAACGGGCGACGTCGTCATGCTCGACAGAAACATACACGTGTTTGACACTTTGCGTGCCTTAAAGCAACAGGAAGTGAAATTTGCCAGTCATTTAATCCAAAGAGATTATCGAAAATTTCTTTCTCTGCGATCTCGGGGGAAAAAACCTCTGTATTCCTGCATGGATCAGCTGTAGAAACTGTTGAATGAGTTATACGTATGGTATATAACATTTCGAATTTTGTGATATGATTTAGTTGTTTGCCATAAATTTATTCTAACGTGAGTGAAAATGTATTTATCATTTTATCGCATTTCCAGTTACTTTGTGTCAAATTGTTGTTCCTCTTAGAACATTGTTTTTTAATGATCAAGTCGTGGCTGATAATCACAGTCTTGCAACGGTGGAACGAGTAATATATGGATTGCAAATATGGTCATCAGGGAGTCAAGATCAGCCGATTGCTATTTTCATGGCGCGAAAATTACCGGTTATGGCGACTACGCACAGTAAAAACTGGAACGCTCGATAAAAGTTACTCTCCTCATTCCCAATTGCGCTCTCTCTCTCTCTCTCTCTCTCTCTCTCTCTCTCTCTCTCTCTCTCTCTTCCCTCCCCCTCTTGCTCTCCCCCCCCTTCCTCCTCTCTCTCCGTAAACAAATTTATTCCCTTCTCCTTATAATCCATCAGTTAAGATATTTAAATGTTCAGTTACAACTATGATAAATGTTATATATTGATAAAAATTATTGTTTCATTTACAATCAAATATTTAAACAAACTACGATTTGCTGAATAATTGATATTTGCGTTTATTTTATTTTATGAATACTCATTTAGTTTCTCTGCACTTATGTTAGTTCATCACTTAAATTAATTGATATCTTCATAATAAATACAAATTATTTTCTTGCATTTAAACTGAAACTAAAACTATTTCCAACATATCAACTTTTTACACACAACAAAATGATCGATATGTTTTTACTTTCCTACGTAATCCATTGTTTCAAATACTTCAATTTATAAATTCCCACTAAAAAAATCTACAACATTTATATATAAAAATAATTTTCTTGATTTTTTTTTATTATAATTTATCCAGATAATTTTTGACTTAATAGAAATCAGTAATGAATAAAAATTATACTTAATTCATTATATAAGATATTTCTATAAAATAATTTTTTTCAATTCACATTTACATGTACTCGATATAAAAACTTTCATGTCTCAGTTTACAATCGTATTTTATATGAGATATTTTCAAAGCTTTATTTTGAGGCTGTGTGTCTAATGAATTTATAATTGATAAAGAAAAGAAACTAAACTCAATGATTGTTGATGTACAACCGTAACATGTGGGTGATTTATATGCTTGGAATTCTTCTGTGCCAAACTTTAGTACTATTGGAATTTGCTGTAATAATAAAGCTGTCAGAGGTATATATACTGTGAATTGCTTTTAGACGGTTCTTTTCAAGTAGGTATATATAAGCATCCGAAGCTGAAAATAAAATCTAGTTTTGCCATTTTATTTTTATCTTTTTATAGCGAGACCAAAATTTATTTCTCTTTTGCTTATAATGAATTGTTCATCATATAGGTCTGCTTTATAATTTTTTGATTTGAAAACAAGCATAGTTTCTTGTAATTTTTTTGTGCGTTGAATCTACAAATAAGAATATTTCATTTTAAGTTTATGAGAAAAATGTAGTTAAAAACTCTCCAAAAAAAGATATACCTTTTAGATCATTTTTAAAACTTAGCGGTCGATAAAGCCGATGTTTTATGTAGATTTCGAAAAGGGCTCAAATGAATTATACTTAAACATTGTACTATAATATGAAGTTTTAATTTAAATATTAAATCTCTTATCGTTGACATCAAACCTTTAGCACACTTTATTTTTTGGAAAAGAGTATACTTTGTACAGTCAATAAAATGGTCAATCGTCTCATGCAATCCTGCAAAATAACTACAAGTAGTAAAAAATAAACATTTAAAACACTTCATTGAAATATGTTTGTGATAAGACTCAATAAATTTAAAAATAATGAAAAAGAAAAAGGACTATGAGCCAAAAAATTCGTTAAAATATACAATTGTTAGTAAATAAAAATTGTTAATTTGTTAAAATTATGTAGTTTAATTAGAAACAAGACATAGATAAACAGACATTTCGACATCTATTAGATCATTATCAATGTTACAGAAAAAATGATCGCAAGTTGTTAAACAAAACAATAATGTATGGAATTATAAAATTAAAAATATAAAAATTATATATAAAAAATAATAAGTATATATAATCTCACTGGCATGGTTCACATATTAATTTCGGTACAATAAGTAAGAGTCCATAAACCTTTGTAAATTGTCTAGTTATAGTGTCTAATTACAGTTTCTCTTATAATATTGTATCAAAGTACAATTTATAAAATGGTCCGTTGTTAGACAATGCGATGAGAGCCAAATTTTAGTTGTTACTCTTAGAAGTTTAAAAATGGTATAACAGATATTTCAAGTAAGAAAGGTTACATTGGTAATGATTTTTCATTGACGTTCTAAAATAAAAAATTTAATATCATCAATCATGATGTATAATCTAATCTACTCGTTTCACGTGAAAACAATATATATAACGTGTAGTTTTCACGAAAACACATACCATTAGAACACCTTTTGTTTATTAATAATGACTCGATTTGATCTTGTGTGTGATCTTTCCAATTTAGCAAATATCGGTAAATGACAAATGAAAGGATTGTGATAAAATAAAAGAAATTATAAAGCTCTATATGTATAAAATAGTATAAATATAAAGAGGGCAAAGAGCCAAATAATCTATAGTTTATATTTCTATACAAAAAGATAAATCAAGTACAACGATTATTTTATATATCAGAAATCATAGATATGTATACCTTACGAGTAAGAAAGCTCTTCCGTGACCTGCTGTCTCAATCGTTTTAGCATAGAAGGTTTACTTATTACTTTGAAATGCTGTCGTAACAGCAATATGTTGTTTATCGATATGAGAGATGTGTTTATGGACCTGGTCGCGAAAATTAGACAAATTATTTTTTTAGCATGATCCATTAGAAAAATGTCGCAAATATTGGGAAATATAATCAACTTGTTATACGAGAATTAAAATATTCACTCTAGATAAAAATAATGTAAAGAACAAATATATTTTATCAATTTCTTTGATGTAATTATAATTAATTAACAAACACATACGAATATTATAAACAGTTCTATATAAGAAATAGTACTAGATTGTTCAAAAAGTTAATGCGTTTTTTTTTTAGTTTAAAATTATACATATATATAATTTAATAAATCAGCTGAAATGGAAGGCATACACACATTGCTGTCTAAATAAGCTAGAATCTGAAAATAAATTTATATCTACATATGTGTGTGCGTGTGCGTGTGTGCGTGCGTGTGCGTGCGTGCGTGCGTGCGTGCGTGCGTGCGTGCGTGCGTGCGTGCGTGCGTG